AATGCCCCTAAATGTAAAACCCATATCGTTTTCCATAAGACAATACAACATATATACATATATCCAAACCATACTCGGAAATGACCAAAACCACGGTTTGCCATCACATCCACCACACATTAATAAGTAGGCCAAATGAACTAAATCAATACAAAGTGATATATCAGTCAGAGTCAGCTAAAATGACATGTACAACTTATCCGTATCTCATCAATCATGGCTAGCATATAAGTCGAAGTCACCTATAGTGACCTATACAACTTATCCATATCTCGTCAATCCTGGCTAGCATATAAGTTGGAGTCACCTATAGTGACCTGTACGACTTATCCATATCTCATCAATCCTGGCTAGCCAATAGCTCAATAAGTATACCTGCACACGAGTCGGAACCACCTAAAGTGGTCTGTACGACAGGACTGGATGTAAATAAATACGCTTAAGTGCTACGATCACGTGAAGACTGGGCGAATAATCGCGGATCACCTACGAGTCGGAACCACCTAAAGTGGTCTGTACGACAGGACTGTGCACCTACCTTGGATCCAAGGTGAGCGTAAGGTGCCGGAGGTGAACATCACGTGAAGGACTGTGCCCTGGCCACGGGCGGGAGCACTAACACCAAGGTGCAGGTTTATGAGCTCTCAATGCATCTCAATACAACATGTGCAACTCATGGCAACCAGTACGACCGTATCGAAGTTGCCTAACTCATAATTGTAGTCATGCTATAACGCAATCGATTCAACTAGTACCATAAACTCACCTAAACTTACCTGGGTGTCCTGAGTTCACCTTTGCACTTGAAAGCATTCCCAATAATTATATGCAAGTAATATACATATGGATATATCATGATGCAATCTACTACTCAACCATGTCGTAGCATTTTCAATTATAAACAATATAGTGTGAAGTGTACAATCAATAACGCCCTACTCCCAAACTACTTATTTTCAAGGATAATTATTCATGACAACCCAATTAACACTAATTTAACTAACTAATTCATAAAACTAAAACTTGCCTTAACCAATTTCCTTCGCATTACTCAATTTCCCAAGCAAGGCTTTTGTCTCAAATATTTTATGGCTGCATCTAACGTCTCGTTAAACTGCCTACGTACCCTAAACAGGGATCAAGCCATTCGTAGTTCACATAGTACTTCAAGCATTCACAATAATTATATATGAAAGTAATATGCCAAATCAATTTAAAGGTGTCGATAGAACTCTCAATAATATGTACGATAAAAAGGAAAAGATGCACTCACCTGGAGTCCACGCTATGATTCTCTAGCGCACGCATCGAGGCGTCCTGAATGATTGGTCCCTGTGACCAATTATCAAATCACATCTCAGAACTCTTATCCCTAGAATATGTAATTCATATAAAACACAACCTCAACGACATTCTAAAATAGTTTGAGACCCATTGACCACAAGTCAACCGTCGATCAAAGATCGACGGTAGGGTTTACAACTCTGTATAACCTGACCCGGAAGATCCGCATATCAGATTTCCGATCCGCATATCAGATTTCCAATCCGCAACTTCCAACGATCCACAATATGTTTCTAGAATAACATATTAAAATTTCATTATGATCCAACGGTCAGATCTCCGCCAATTGCCTAAAACAAGTGGTCGTGAACATTTATTTTACTAACTTACAAATCCAATTCGGGAAGATCCGTACATCGGATTCCCAATCCATAAATTCCTATGATCTTTAAATATTATGTATTATAATGTACCCAAGTTTGGTGACGATCCAACGGTCGGATCGTCGATTTACATTTTCATCAAGCAATGTATCGTAACGAATTTAGGTTCCAACGATCAACCTATGTCATTCAAATAACAAAACTGAATTCAAGACATTCGAAATAGCCTAAAAATAGCATTGGCGGCCCACTGGCCACGCGCCGCCGCAGGTGGCGGTCGGCCGCCCCGACTCGCCGGAAAATCCAACTATTTCCAAAAATTATCAAACTTCACAGAAATCAAGATCTCAGTGATTGGAGCAACTTTCATACCTACCACGAAGTCCAAAAGTGAACGGAAGATGGTCAATTTTGCCCACGAAGTCGGCGGGTGCCTAAAACTTCCCGACGTCGATTCGTCGTCTACGGTGGTCCAACGGGGTCAAGGTCTGTTGGGTTTTGCTCCTGTGATGATGGGCTACAAAGCCCAAGTGGTGGCATCGCCCATTGCTTTGCCGATTTGCCGAAAAATCGAAAAGGGTGGCCGGAGCACCATTGATTTTCGTCAACTTTCGTGGCCTCAAACCTCCACATCCCATGGTTAATCAAGGTGGTTCATGGGTGGGTTTTGTAGAGGGGAATGAGAGCTTCAAGATGGTGGTGGTGGCATCGAAAAACTCCACCGGAGTTGGTCGGAATCGGCCTTGGAAAATGGGTGGTCGCGAGTAGGAAAACCCACGAGAAAAGCTGGGATTTTTTTTTTTTCTTTTTCTTTCTTTCCTTTTTCTGATTGGGCTTCACCTTAAATAACCAATTTCTGATTGGGGATTTAATTTAATTAACACTAAACCTTGAATAACCAATTTCGAACGTCTGTAACTATACCATTATAATCCGGACTTGCAAACGGCTTTCGCCTATACGTTCACATCCACGAGTATTACGAGAATATGTTAAAAGAATAAGTCATACGTCTCTCTAGATGATGGTCAACAGAAGTCAAAGTCCTTACCTCTAGAGCAATTTCGTAAATTCACGCTTTTAAAATAAAATAAAAACATAAAATTTGGAACGAGTTGTTACAAGACTCGCAGAAATTGATAAACACATAAGTTTGTGTTTCCATCCAATGCACGTGTTTTCTTTTAGGTGATGAATGATAATTAAATTCAAACTCCTTTGTTTAGTGAAAATACCATTAAAGAGATTCGTACTATGAATTTAAAATTGAAACATAAAGGTGAATAATTTATAAATGATGGTGATTTTTATTGCTTTTTTATACAAATTGATTGTGATAGTCATTTTTGTTTGTTTTATGGAAAAGAAAAAAAAAATCGAACTCTAAACCCATCTCAATCATAACACATTTCGTACTTTTGAGTCACCAATTAAGCTATTTCCAAACACTTTTATCACAAATGATCCTCGAAATTAACACTCACCATTAAAATGGTCTCTGAAATTAAAAATTAATCAATGTAGTCATTTCGTTACAATTCTATAAAAAAATTTGTTATGTACTGATGTGAGTTTAATAATTAATTAAAATAGTTGTCTAAATACCTTTTTGCACAATGGACTTTTTTTTTCTTATAGTAGGGTCTACTCCGAAGAGAAGTCCATTCCATAAATTTTCAAAGGCACAAGGCTTAACCAAGGCCTAAGAGGCGGTGTGGAAATAGTCTTCAACCAACAATGGATACCTCTCGGTTATAACCTCATTATCTCAAGGTAGACCTTGTCGTTCTTTGCATCACTAGATCACTAGGAAAGCGCCGAACAAGCTCTACAAGATTAAGGTAGTGAGGATGTTAATCGCCTAAAGGTTAACGGTGATGTCCTAGAAGTCGTTGCCAATGGGCCAAGCTGTCACCAAAGGGAATCTCGATCCAAGTTCAATTTGGTGAAAAATGTCGAAGTGTGTAAAGATGGGTGTATTGAGATTTTTTTTTTTTTTTTTTTTTTTAAAGAATAGAGAGCGAATGAGGTATATAAATGTGGACTGGGATCGGAGGTGATTGCAGGACTGGGTTTTTGGGTTGACAATTTTTTTTATTAACTATTAAATTATTAAACCTATTTGTAATTTTTTAAATTTAATTAGACTTGTGTGACCCATTTATATATCACATCAGCATATAATAGAATTTTTGACAGAATTATGATAGAAGAACTACATTGATTTGATACTTACTTGAGGACTACATTGATCAATTTTCAACTTCAAGGACCAGTTTGATGTCGCGTGTCAATTTCAGGGATCATTTTGATGTCATGAGTCAATTTCAATGACCATTTGTGACAAAAAATTGACTTATGGAGCCCATTTATGTGCCACATTAGCACTTAACAAATTTTTTAACAGAATTATTACGGAATGACTATATTGATTTGTGACACCTATTTTCAGGAACTACATTGATTGATTTTCAATTTCAATGAGCATTTTGATGGTGAAAGTCAATTTTAAGAATTATTTGTGATAAAAATCCAAAAAAGTATATAATAAAAAAACATTGGAGTTTTGCTGACTGGATCAGGCAGCCAACAAATCTAATAGCAATAGCATCACTTACATCACGTATCAAGGACGTCACAGAATTGATCACTTTTTATCTCCCCGGATGTTGCAAAGTTCATCACAAAAACAAATTGATTTAGGTAATATAAAAAAACACTAACATTCAAAAGTATGTTACCAAACTATTGCGTTACCCGCTTTTGTTTTTTTCCAAATAATTGACCAAAAAGAAAAAGGCAAAGCTTTTTAAAAGTTTTATTTTGCATTTATCTCATCACACAACTTTAATGACATATTTACGTATTTGAATATGAATTATAAAATCAGTTAATTCGATTTCTCACTTCTGACAATTGAACTGCGGCTTTTAATAAGGAGTTTTAAGGTGTTTTGAATTTCATGTTTTAAGTAAACATTACAAATGTAAGAGATTAACATAACTCTAATACTCATGTTTAATATAAAATTTTATATAACAAAAAGAAAATTTAAAAAAAAATGAAAAGCTGAAGAGAATACTACAGAGTCTGGTCACTAATCAAAACACAAGGTGGGCATAGAGGGGCCCACACCTGTCAAACATAAATGGGCCACATCTAACTCAAGGTCCCCCAAATGATGCAAAAATGTTTAAATCATCACACCCTCACTCACCACAGTACCTTAAAATTTGCAGGGAAAAATAAAAGAGAGAGAGAGAGAAATTACAACACCGGCAACAGCAATAACATGCATGCCCTAGAGAGCAATGAAAAAATAGAGAATAAAGCTGCTGCAGCTACTGCAAATTTTTTGGATCTTGCTTCTTGTTCTTTCTATATAATAATCTTTGTACATGATTCCAGTGGATCACAAAATACAACCAGCTTAATATCCCAGAAACTTAATAACTAATAAGACATTAAAAACTAAATTAAAACAACAAAAAGATTTGGAGAGCAGTCAACGAGTCAGTGTTGTAGTTCTAGTTCTTTCCTTTTTATCTCCTTGTCAATCAAACCTTATCATACCATTATGGTATGCCTGGTCTTATATTATCACCAAAATCAGAGACCCAAAAAGCAACACCTTTTTTCCCTAACATTCATCCCTTCCTTTCCATTTGTCTAAAACTCCTTTACAAAGCTACCTCTGTCTGCAAAGCAGCAGCAGCTGCACCTGCATTGAACCCCACCACCACCTGCTGCTGCTGCTCAACCTCCCACCTTGCTTTGGCTATGGCTCCATCATGCACTGGCACATACTCCTACCAAACAAAACCCCAAAACAAAATCAGACACCAAAAGGGTGATTTCATCATCAAGATTCTTTCTGGACAGTTCTTTTTTTTTTTTTTTTTTTTTTCATTTCTGAGTTTTGGAAAGAATCATAGAATATCTGCATACAAAGTGTTTAATGAAATGGGAAAAGAAATTATGAGACCTCAAGTTTTTGGACAAGCTCTTTGGCATTGGGGGCAGAGACTATGATGTGGCGCTGCGAAGGCTTGATAAAGCCATCATCCACGGCTTTGTCAATAAAAGTGAGGAGGTAGTTGTAGTATCCATCAACATTCAGCAATCCCACCTGCAAAAAAATTGTTTGCAGAAAACGAAAATAATTAATATAATAAAGCTTCAAACTTTCAAGGCCAAGGCTCTTGGTTCTAAAGTTTCTAGTAATCGTAATCTCCCTTCTGGTGTGTTCTTACAGGTTTGTCATGGATTCCAAGCTGTGCCCAAGTTATCACTTCTAGCAACTCCTCCAAAGTTCCATAGCCACCTGATGGACCAAAAGTAATACAAAAGAAAATCCACTGATTAGCTTATTTAATCAAAAGGGCAAACTTTTTTTTGTAGAGAGAGCGGGGTGGGGAAAGAGAGGGAGAGGGAGAGGGAGATGGGACCTGGTAGGGCAATGAAGCAATCGGAATGGCGGGCCATTTCTGCCTTCCTTTGGTGCATGTCGGCTACTGGCCTTACCTCTCCAACTGTTTCACCTGTTATCTGAGGCTCAAAAGACCCAACATGCATACATTTTTTTAGAGAGACTTGCACACTTGAAACCAAAAAAAAAAAGGCTAAACTTTGAACCGGTACCGAAAAAAAGAACACAAATTTGCACAAACTAGAAGAGATTGAGAAAAACCCAAAAGAGAGAGATTAGATTTTGCACCTCTTTACACATTAAAGTTCTTGGTATGATCCTGCCCAAATGTGAAGCAAAAAATATAAATAATTAGGCAAATGCATATGTAAAATACATAAATTAAGAAGAAATAGAAAACATTTGAGAAACCCAAGAAAAAGTGAAAATCTAGAGATGTGATTGTACCCAAGAACATTCCCTCCACCATGATAAACAGCCTGGGAAACCAGACCCATCAGCCCAATGCTCCCTCCACCATACACAAGGTCAAGCCTCCTTGAAACCTTCAGAAATAAAAAAATAAAAAGCCCAAATTTCAGAACCAAAGAATAGGCCAACCCAAGTAATAAAATTGAAAAATAAACTAAACCAAAGTGATTAAAATGGAAAATAGAGCAACCCCAGTAATAAAATTGAAAATTTTGGAGTTTGGAGAGAAAGGCGAAGAAGAACAGTACCAGCTCTTCAGCTAATTCAATGGCAGCATCTTTGTAGCAGTTCCTCTTCCCAGTACTGCTGCCACAAAACACACAAACCCTCTTGAATCTTGATCTCGAAAGCTTCTCTTCCATCTCCAAACTCCACAAAATTTTACTGGTTTTTTTGCTTTTGGGTTAAACAGTTTGGCAAAAGTGAGTTAAAAATATGGAGGGATTGCAGAGCACCAAGTAATATGGAAACAGCCACTATATATAGAGCTGTAGACTCCACACAAATATGACTGCAGGACCGAAATTGTAGGACCCTCCCTAAAAAAAAATTGCATTGAAAAAATTTGAAAAACAAATTTAAAATAAAAATCAAGGAAGGAAAAGGGAGTACCGTGGTGTTGTTCTGTCAAATGGATAGAGACGAAGTAAGACAAAACGGCAAGGCAAAAAAGACACAGAGGGAAGCCTCCGTGCAATTCAGACCGTTCCTTAATCACGACGACACGTGGCTTAAATTCATTGGAGAGACTTTGTAGTTCCGTGTCTCAGGGGGTAATTTAAGCACTTTAGAGAGAAAAATCTCCCCTTCCTTGTGGAGTGTGGAGTAACATTTTATATACTTAAATACGTTTTATTATTTCATTTAAACTACAAACACATAAATTTATTTTTTCATCAATATACCGTAAATATAAATGGTACATATTTTTTTATAACACGTTAAACAAACTATTACATGACATGTGTTTCTGATTTGATAAAAAAAAAGGCTTGGATTAATAGTTGGTAGTTAGAATATAACCCATGATAGAATTTATGCTCAAAATTGAAAATGTCGTCAATTTTATGTTAATTATTAGTACACGAGCCAATCCCACTTGTTAACAAGTAACGAAGAATTCCATTTTAGCCTAACATGTATATAGAAGTTTTGTTTTAGCCTAATATATATGGCTCACGTACTAATAATTAACATAAATTTAACAAAACTTTTAATTTTTAGCATAAATCCTAATAAATTTCAGCATATAATTTAAATTCTAATTTTCTCACCACATAACTTTCTTCCATCGATCATATCATCGTGGAACTAATAATTCAGGCAAAAATATAATACATTGTTGTAGTGGCGTAGTCTCCTCTCCTTCTTCCCTTTCTGTCTGAATCGTTTTAAATGCACGCAATCATAACTGTGTGCGTATATGATCGTGCAGACCCTCTCTAGTCTCTGCATCAAATCAAGATCAATAGGTGGCTTCTTGACATGGTTCAACTTTAGTTGTGGAAGATGGGTTAGGCAATTGAAATTAAACAAAGGCTGGTCTAGCTAATTAACAAAAATTGGAGCTTCGTTCATTGATGTGATTGGTTTTAAAATCTTATTTTTAAGAACGAGTGGAATTTATGTATAGTTGGATACTCATCGACCCATAAAGACAGTTAGGAATTAGGATATCCAAAATGAAGATATTTTAATTTTGAAAATATAAGAAATATTGCATTTTTTGTACTACAGTATGTATTAGTTGATATGGCAAATCATATATAAATGTCGTATTAGTTAATGAGTTTATCTCATTAAATGTTAGTTAAATGTATTTTTTTATAGATGATTGTTTATTGTTTACTAAAAATTTTGGTGAGTTTGCTTAACTGTAGCCATTTCCCATAGCCTCCTCGAGCTCGAAAGAAGTGGATAATCGTAGTTTGCCACCGATTGTCGCCTTTTTAAAATAAAATTTTGTCAAAAGTGCTAGGAATATTTTGGGGATCCTATCAAGAAAATGAATATTTTGGGGATACTTAACTCTTCTGCTAAAGCTTTTGGCCAACAGGTTAGTTTTCATAAATCCTCTCTTTATTTTTCACAGATAACACTAGTTCCTAGTTAAGGAATGAAAGTGTTGGAATACTTCAAATTCAGCATAAAACTACTATTGAAAAGTACGTTAGGATTCATAATATTGTTTTCGAGAAGGATCTTGTCAATGGGAGTGAAGTGTTAGACAGAAGGTAGTTGGGTGGAAGGCTAATACTTTTTCTAAGGCAGACAGGCTTACACTTACGAAATCTAACCTCACTTGTATGCCAAAGTATGTTATGTCCTATTTTAAATGTCCATAAATTAACTACTAAGCTAAACAAAGAGTGCAGATATTTCTTTCGAAGAAAAAAGAAAAAATAATGAATTTAGTGCCCTGGAATAAAGTTTATTCTTCTAAGACCAACTTCAATGGTGGGCTAAAAGCTAAATTACCCTCCAAAATTTTCCCCCAAACCCACTCCAACCCAAGGAAAAATTTTGGGCTAAATGCTAAATGTTAAACCAATGTCAAATTCCCCCCAAAATTTAGCCCAGAAATTGGAGTGGACTCCACCCAATATTTATCGGAATTTAAATTTTTTTTAGATTAAAATGTTCATAAAATTAATTTACGATAGTCTACATATATTTTTTTTTTTTAAATTTAATTTAACAAAAAAAAATTAGCCGAAGTTCATTCTTTAATAATCCCGGGCTAAAATTTTAAACTAAAATGGTTGGACCAAAAAAGCTGTTTCTGGGTTAAAAGCTAAATTTTCCGGGCTAAAAAATTTGGTTTTTAGCCCAACCATTGGAGATGGTCTAAGAGGTTTAGTGATAAAGAGATTAGATCATTTTAATACTTCATATTTAGCTAAGTTAGGCAGGAAAGTGTTAACAAAAGATGATAACTAGAAGAAGTACCTAGGACAGGAAAATTCTTAGACAATAAAGTTAAGCAAAATCATTTTTTTGGCCTGGAAATGTATTCTTAATTTAAAAATATAATTCTTAAGGGGATGAGATGGATTGTGGGTTATGGCAAGGATATCTTGTTCTGAACCTATCATTGGATATTTCATTACCCATTGTTTCATTTAATCCTAAAAATCAGAGGGATTCACTTGATTGGAGCGTAAAAATTGGAGTTTATTATTGTAATTGTTGGGATAAGAACAAACTTAACCAGGCTGTGGAGGTTAATATAACATTGAAAACTTGAAGTATCCCTTTCCCCTTACAGAAAACCCATGATTGTTTTGTTTGGGGGGCTATGCCAATGGTATATTTACAGTTCAGTCAGCTACTTGGATTCAAAATGATATTCAGGTCAACCATACAAAAGCTCTTGAACAAAATGTGAAAATTACTGAAAATAGCCCAAAATGACATGAAAATCGTCTCCAACTGAAGGCTAGGCCAAAGGGCTCGTGGGCCCCACCGGGCCACAATTGCACAATCAAGCCAACCAGTTGACCCAAACCAACCAGCTAGCCAGCCCTGGGCCGATCCATAATTCAAGCCCAATGGCTACCTGGTGTCAGCATGATGCCAGCTAGCTGACGTCACATTAAACAACATTAAAATAACATTAAACTTAAACAACATTAAAAAAAAAAAAAAAAAAACATTTCACAACATAAAACTTAAATGCCTACTCCATGATTCTTTTGGCCTAAAGATGTGCAACAAGATCCTGTTGTAGGTACTTGTTTGTGGTACGTGAACGTATCATCTTATTGCGCCTCCTTCTCGTTTAACAAGATTTTACCAGTTCTTGGATCGAAAGGTAAATTAGGCCCATCATATATTTTTGCATGAGCCCTCATTGACCTATTTGAATCATCTTGGTCATCATCAGATTCTCCATCAATATAGCCATCGCGCTCATCCTCCACAATCATGTTGTGTAATATGATGCACAACATCATAATGGAGTTCAATTTATCTCAACTCCACCCTATTACCGGTTCCTTGATGATCTTCCACCGTGCTTATAGAATATTGAAAGCTCTCTCAATATCTTTTTGGTATGCCTCTTGGTGCAAGGTAAACCACCTTTAGGCTTTAGCTACAGGGTTTAGAATTGCTTAGACAAGTGTCGCTCACTTTGGGTAGATGTCATATGCCAAGTAATACCCCATATTGTACTGACGGTCATTCATGTAGTAGTCAAGTTGAGGTGATTTGCCCTCCGTTAGGTTATTAAAGAGGGGTGAACGCCCAAGAACTGTAATGTCGTTTTGGGATCCTGGGACTCCAAAGAAAGCATGTCAGATCCATGTGTCAAACGAGGCAACCGCCTCTAACACAATAGTTGGCTTTCTCGATCTTCCGCTAAAGCCTTTTTACCATCTAGTGGGACAGTTATTCCACTACCAATACATGCAATCTAAGACCCTATCATGCCCGGAAATCCACAGTCTTCAGCTTTGCGAATGAGCCAATCCAGATCTTCTTGATTTGGTTCACGGAGGTACTCTTCTTTGTAAAGATGAACAACTGTGCGACATAATTCAACAAGATTATCAAGGCATGTAGACTCAACCATATGTATCATCCATCGCATCAGTTGGGGAGGCATAGGCTAGCATTCGTAGTGCAATAGTAACTTTCTGATGAGGTGAGAAACCAGGACGGCCTGCTCTGTCCAGCTTCTGTCGAAAGTATAGATTGACATGTTGGACATCATGAAGTAAACGCTCAAAGACATGACACCTCATCCAGAAGCGACGTCTGAAATCCTCTTCTGTGTACATCGAGTTTGGGTTGAAGTAGTTGTTCATCAGATTGTCATACGTCATCTCTCTGTTTCGTGGTTTGTAAAAGCGACCAGCAATAAAGCTACCCCATTGAGGTTGTTTCTCAGTTGGCTCACACGCCATGACTCCAGACATAGCTGCCATATATGATGTGTTGCGCCATGATTCATCTTCTTCATCGGACTCATCTTTTCGTCTCATCTGCGCCATTTTTCTTCCAATTTGAAATTAGATAAGGACCCCCAGTTGGAATTTGAAGTTGTAATCCATTGCAAACTTGAATTGAAAGAGAGGGCAAAGCTGAAAGTGTGTGAATTATAGCCCAATATCCACCCTATTCATGGACATTGAAATCTGAAGATAAGAAGTGTCACGCAGATAAAAATCCTATCTAAAATTCCCACAACCAATTACATCTTGACACATGGCACTCGAAATCCTATCCCAAAAATTATTGAGATTACATATCGACAAGAAATCTAGAGAGTTACTCACATATCGACACATGGCTCTCGAAATTTGAGACATAAAATTATTGAGATTCCTTATCGACAAAAAATCTGGAAAGCTACTCATATATAGACATGTAGCATTCGAAATCTGAGACGTAAAATTATTGAGATTCCATATTGACAAGAAATCAACAAAGTTGGACACATATCAACATGTGGCACTCAAAATCCGAGACGTAAAATTACTGAGATTCCGTCTCAAAAATTTATTGAGATAGTTTAATTTAAGTAACCATATTAATTCAATTAACATAATAAATTATGTTTTGCTTATGACCCTTTAGCCCCATCTGTTAGAGATGGTTTTTTTTTGTCACATGGCTATGTTTGACTTGTGACCTTTTGCTCCTCGGTTAGAGATGGTAAAAAATATGGCCTGACACTGTTCATTAACATATTAATTTCTTGAAGGGCTATTAGACTAAAAGGAGCTTTCTGACCCTCATTCGGTTGGAGATGGCCTAACTTTACCCCTGAAAGTTAAAAAGTTTAGTTGGTTATTAATTAAAGACAGACTTCAAACTAGGAAACGAGTAAGAAAATTTATCAAAAATGTTGATATTAGATGTCGTTGTTGTGGAGTGGAAGAGGAAGATCAAAATCATCTTTTTTCGAAATGCAAGTATGCAAAAGAGGGATATATAGAGACTATTTTTTGATACCCCTTTTAATAGTTCTATTGTTTCTTTTGTAAATATCATTGGTTGGTTGAAACTTTGTCAAATATAGAGAATATGTGTGAAGTCTAGTTTTAGTTATTTGGCTTTCATTGTCAAAAGTTGTAAATGCTACCACATCTATTCTACTCACCAATTGAGTTCAGTGGTGAGTTGGCACACCGGCATTCACTAGAAAGACATAATTAACTCATTAGTTATTCAACTTGCACGTCATGTAGACTTGTTAATTTTAGGGTAAACATATTGTTAATTAACAAAGTCGTAGTTAAATAACCATTTCCACTCCCATAAGTAAAAAGAACCATACAGCAGCCTACCTTTTTCACCAGCTGTGTTTCGAACCAGAAGTCGAAATTTCATACGAGGTTAGAAAGCAAGCTATTGCACGTTTTTTTGGAAGTCCAAGTGTTATACGTAATTAAATTTTTTGCATGACAGTTAACATCACTATTTAAATCATTATGGATAAGATAATTGGTAACTAGCCACCTATTAAAAGAATTGCACGCACTTAGTTCACATTGTTTTACATCATATTCCACTTAATATTAAATTTATAGTCAGAGATAGAAATTTGAGATGCAAAAATTATTTTTACAGCTTATTTTGTGCTTTCAGAGGGTGTGGCTCAGAGTTCCATTGCAGTGAGAGACATCAAAAGATGTAAAAAAAATATGTATATTTAGATTTTTATTTATAGTTTTCAGCCAAGGTGTTTATTTTACATCTCTCTATTAAGAGTTCTTCGGCTAGCAAAAATTGCAAATTCCACATTTTAAGACATTTGACGTCTTTCGTTGAAGATAAGATACCTTTAAATAAATGTTGATGGAGCCTTTTGTGCGAATACATGATCTGGGGGAATCGATGTTGCTTTTCGGGACGATGCCAGTACTATGCTGAAGGTTTCGTTTGGAAAATCTCGCACCCGATTAATCCCAAAATAGTTGAGATTCTAGCTAGCTGCTCGTGAGGGTCTTTGGCTGGCATTTCAAAGAAACTGGCAGCAAGTTATCCTGGAGTGTGATGCACTTCAGGTTGTTTAAGCTATTGGCAGCTTTAACTGTGAAACCTCTGCTAATGGATTGCTAACTGAGGATATTAAGTCGAGTTTACGGAGTTTTGAATTTGTTAGAGTTCACCGTGTTCGTCAAACTGCTAATTATGCGGCACATAGAATGATCAAGTTGGTCTTATTTTCTAATTTTTCTAATCTTTGGTTTGAAGAACCTCCGGATCTTCTCTGGAATTCCCTCCTCCAAAAAAGGATGCCTTTATAGATATTAAATAATGCAAGTGAGTAAACAAGTTGCATATACGCTTAATATTTTGGTTTTAGATTTTTAATGAAATTGTATATAGTTAAACACCAAATTGCAAGTGTTTACGCCTCTAAGTCAAGTCTCACACGGCAATTTGACGTCGGTTATTGGGTCAATACTATGAGAGGAGTACATGCATATATTAAGGGGTCCATCTAGGAGGAGAAATTTTACAGAGACACTCTCAAAAATGAGAGTTTTTATGGATTTTTCGTTAACTTACATTTTAACGTTAGTTTTCGTATCAATATTATAAAACACTATACCAAAAATATGACGTGTTATATTATTCATGAAAAGTCTCACTTTTAAGAAAGTTTCCTTAACCGTTCTCAAGTTGGGAATTCCCCTTTGAATAGGATGACTCTAAAATCTAGTGCATATTATTTTCTAATAAACAAAATCTTCGTGCTAATTTTTAGGAAGTCCGCTCCACTTAAGAAAAATAAGCTTAATCCAACCAAAAAATTACAAAACAAAATCATTGAGCAACTCACACTTAATAGTCCAAAAAATATATGCACTTGAGGCAAAATGGTCTCTAAGATTGACATAACTCTTACTTTTGTTCCTGAGATTTGAAATCGATAGAACTGGTTCCTGAGTTTATCAACTGTTAATTATTTTGGTCATTCTTTAAAAAAAAATATATTAAATAAGAACCAAAATGACAAAAATACCGCAATTTAATAAATAATTGGCCAAAATGATTTGAAAAAAATTGAAGGCATTTATGTTATTTTCTCATTTAATAAATATTTTTTACAAAATGATCAAAATGGTTGACGATTGACAAACTTGGGCACCAGTTTTATCGATTTCAAATGTCAAAAATAAAAATGAGAAGTTAAAAGCAATCTTAGAAACCTTTATGGCTAAAAGCCAAAAATACATATTTTATAACCCACTCTAATAGAAATTCCTCATTCCACCTTAAACAGACAACTGACTGTAATATTATTCATGATAGCATACTTCTATCAAGTTCCAACTAAATGTTAATAAAAATGCATCATTTCACCCATAAATAAACGACTGGCCATAACATTATTCATGATAGCGTACTCTTGACACGTTCCAACTAAATGTGGCACTGTGCATGTAAAGGGCATGCAAACTATACAGAGGTGCCGTTGCCAAAGTAACCTTCTGCTAACATAGTACAATAATTACAATAATTGATATGGTAGCTAGCATGAATTACAATAAATAGAACACGCAGTTAAGTACCTCACTACGTTTCTAGTGGCAGTGGCAGTATTAACTAGAATCCGCTGTGTTCAAGAGGGTAAGAACAATGGCACAATCAAACGGCGAGTCGACAGGAAGGGTTGTAAATGCTTGCACACCAATGCTCGATCCAAACGTCGCGTTTAATTAAATTGGGGATTTTATGGGTTTTGCAGCGGGCAAGAGATGGCGAGAAGGAAGGGATGGTGCCATTTGCCAAAGCAGTGCGGCGCAATGATGTTTTTCTGCAGCTTCGCCCACTCCCCCATATCCTACCTCCTATGCATGTGTATCATTCAAATGTACCACCTTCCTTAGCTCTGTTGAATTTAATGCTTCCTTTATTCTCTTTGCAGTTTTCAATTGCTACCTAGGGAACTTGGAACTTGTTCTTCTTCTTGTCGGCGTTTTGCATTTTTTGGGCTATAGCTGAGTTGTTGCATTTTCTTGTTTATTTATTCACAAGCTTTTGTTAAGCCTTCATATCCTAACAGATTTAAGTAATTAGAAATAACCTCAACTAATCAGAATTACGCATTTAAACGTAAATTAATTTATTGATTATTTTGTACATTGAGTATGTGACACATCTCAAGTTGTAGGTAAATAGATTATGAAGATCACACTTCGACAAAATTCTAAGAACACCTAAAGTTTTAAATAATAACAAAATAATTAACAAGTCCAAACTGAACTCTAAAAAATGTGTTTAATTAAATAGATTTTATCAAACCTTACCTTGATTCTAAAATGACATAACAACTTTATAAGCATCAGAATTGATTCTTCTTAGGTTACGTTTCTCAAGCGGCTAGATAAACTTGTCTGCTAAGCGATCTACAGTAGTAGAACAACATATATATGTCAAACTTTTATCTCAGCAGAAAAGTAGATGATTGAATTTTTGTTCAACCGATTAATGAACCATAGCTAGATCAAACTAGAGTACTTGTGCTTATTATCCTAGATCAACATACGCCATTAATATCATTAAACTTCACTATAGGTTGTGTATGATGTGAGAAAATAGGTATGAAAAACACGGATTTAGATTTTCTCCTCTCTTTTTATTTGAATGCTTAAGATTAAATCACATTAACATGTTATTTTACTTTAACTTATCTGTAAAGTGATAAAAGGTTAAAAAAAGAAAGAAAAGAATAAAAGTAAGGGAGGGATCCAACTCCAAAAAGCACTAGTAGTGTAAATAGGATTTGGATCCTCTCATGAGGTGTGAGAATCCTTCTGATCAAAAAGTGTAAGTAGTTGGATAAAAATCCAACAGTTATAAACAAAATTTTTTTTTAAAGTTATAATAATTATAACTGTTGAATTTTCATCTAACGGCCAACACTCCTTCATCAGGAGGATTCTCATCTTGAGCTTAGAAGATGATCCAAATCCGTGTAAATACCCATCTGAGTATAGCTAGAGTTACGGAGGCATAGGCTGGGTGAGTTCTGGCT